CTTTTAAGGAAACATCTGAGTGGGTTTGAGGGTTACAAACGCTAACGAGCAATGGCAGTGCTCCTTTTAGTCTATTTAGAGGAAACGGGAAGGCATTTCAGTTCATCAAAACACTGGTGATTAATCAGCCAAGTACCAGGCTGTTTTCATTCGGCTTGTTTTTAAAAGGTCTGACACGCCGGGTAAAAATATTCCCCTAATAATCGTGCCCGCAGCAGAGGGAGCGGCGCGGGAGGGGGTGCAGCGGCGCTGGTTTCTCCGTATCCAGGGTAAATATGTCAGCGCGGCGGAGAGGAGCGAGCAGGCAGGACTCAAGATGGCAATGGAGAGGGTCCGGGGCTGGCGCTGTTTTGATGGAGATGACCTGGCTGGTGGCCTGGGCTGCAGGAGAAGGTGCGGGGACAGCCAAGGTTTCCAGCCCAGGGGGAGGATTCCTTTCTCTCTCCTCTTCTGTATCATCCCGCCACGCGGCTCCTCTGCCGAGCTCCAGCTGGAGCTTTATTTCCAGCCTGGAGGTGAGGACTTCTGCACCGTCACCAGGGAGCAGAGCTTGGGCTGGTGTCACCACCCGGGGCTGGCACCTGCAGTGGAGGTGCAGAGGGCACCGAGAGCCTGGGCATGGGTGCAAAGGCAGGAGGGGACGAAGGCATGCTCCCTCCTGGGCACATGCATGGCCAAGAGCAGCTTCTGACCCAGCTTTAGAGATGTTCCCAGTCTCCACCAAGGCATAGAAGGTCTCATGCAGGCAGTGGCTGGCGGGTGAGAGCGACCCTTGGTTTTCGAAACACGGATCTGATCTCTCGCCTGCAAGGTTTTGCTCCTGATTTCCCCCCTTCTGCTGCTGGAGCTGGTGCTTGCAGATGGCCTTCCCCAGCGGGGACAGGGGTGCCACGACCAGGGCACCTCTGCGTTAAATGAAGCAGCTTGGACACCTCTTGCTGCCAGCCAGCACCTCCTGCAGTAAGTTGCAGCTCTTTGGCAGGACCCTTCCGGCACATCCCAAACTCGCCGGACGCAGGCGATCCTGCAAACCCGCACTAAAACCCGCGGCCGGTTACGGCACATCCGTTGTCTTCCCTTTTCCCCCTGCCCGGGGGCACACCTGGATCCTTTTCCCTTCTCCTTTTCCCCCAGCTCCTTTCCCACGTCCTGCTCTCTGGCTCCAGTCCCCTCCTTCCCCAGACCCGTCCCACGCCGCAGCACCTGGACACGTGGCAACACATCCGTGGATGGACGCTCTAACGAGAACCGCGCTAACGATGTGACAGCGAGACATTCCCCGTGGCTTTACTAAGCAGGGATTTGCTGTGCATCTTCTTTTGCTCCAGTTTCACCTTGTCTGGAGAAACCCATTGCTTTCTCTGACCATGGGAGATGTTGGAGGTCCCTCTCTCCAGGGTTTTCTTCCCTTTCTCCAAGATCTGCTCATTCCTGGCCAAAGCCTTCGCTCTGGTTGGTCTTGGATGGTTCAGGGAGCCTAGGGGAGACTCAGGGCTCCCCACTGTCAAGTTGTGTGAGCTCGAGCTGGGAAGGAGAAGGCTTTTTGGAGAGCTGGGTGTGGAGATGAGGCTGCTGGCTCTGACTCAAGGAGCTCTCAGCCTGTGGGCAGGGAAGGGGCGGGGGGACAATTGTCTCTTCTCGCAGGGACCTGCAAGAAACCTCCAACCTGGGACACCCCCAAACACCTTTGAAAGGCACCGTTGGACATGGGGGTGGGGGGACAGAGCGAGGCAGTGTTGTCCTCATCTCCCACACACCCCCTGCCCAGGGCAGACGAGGTTCTTCCTCCACCACGATGCTTCAGGATGTCACTGAGCATCTTTGTACCATCCCAGCCCTGGGAACAGGGCACGTCTTGGTGAGAGGGGCCACTGGCTCAGTGCCAGGGGAGGTGGCATCCCCGGCTCCCTGCAGCCCCTGAAACAGGGGGTGCTGGCATCAGGACACCTCTGGGAACCCCATCCTTTGATCCTTGGGGTTTGCAGTAGCGAGGGGCTGTGCGACGGGCTCCGTAGGGGTCTGGCATATGCCTTTCCGTCGCCTGTTTAGGTCCTGCGCAGGAGTGCCAAGAAATCTCTCTGCTAAATAAACAGCACTCTCGTCCCAGATGGCATCTGTTTATACGCCAGGTACAAACAGTCCCTGCAGCTGCCCCGCTTGCCACCGGGCCAGTTCTTTCCACAAAAAAGCAGTTCCCGAGGGCCAGCAGTGCCACACGCTGGGTTGGGCACAGGCAGAGGCACTGCCGGGGCCTGGGCTGGGGAACGCACCATGGCTGGGGCATCATCTGGAGGAGGAGGCTGGTCCTGGCTGCAGACCAAGGTCTCTGGATTTGGGGGTTCAAGGCACTGGGTGAAGCCACGGTGCTGTCCCAGCCCTGGGAGGGTCTAGAGGGCTCGTAAAGGTGTCACAGCTGCATCTCCCAGAGGCATCATTCTTCTTCCTTTCCCTGAAGTCCTAAAGTCCCCCCAGCAAGGATGATATTTGCTCTGTCATCTCCTCGCGTTGGTGCTTCCTCCTTCTCCTGCAGCCACCATCACTGTCAGGTCACCAGCATGGCTGCGGTCAAGCTGAGGACGCCCAGATTAATCCCGCAGCTGTGGATCTGAGCCTGACCTAAGTGTGGCTCTGCGGCCGGGCTCCCAGCTAGAGATGTCTCAGCACACCACCCTCTGCTCATCTCTGGGCAGAAACCCCACGATGCCAGCTGGCACGCAGAGCCGAGCCATGCTGCCGAAGCCAGGCACCCAGGAAGAGCCGGGTCATCCATGAAGGATAGGAGCTGCATGCTCCCCGGCTGTGGAGTGGGGAGAAGGAGGTTAAATTGCCAAACCAAGACGCAGACTTTACGGTAGGGTCCTCCTATGTACAGCAAACTTGGTCCCAACGTCGAGGGTTCATCTGTCCTCAGTCATCTGGTCATAGCGTTGGCTCATCTCCGTTGGGAGTGGAGGTGTCTACTATCTGATGTTCGGGGAGATGAATCCTGCCCCGGTGCTCTGCTCTTACCACATTGCCATAACAAAGTCTCGGTCCTGTGCCTGCGTCTCTCCGGGCACATGAGAAGCTGTGGCTGCCCCATCCCTGGCAGTGTTCAAGGCCAGGTTGGATGAGACTTTGAGCAACCTGGTGTAGTGGAGGGTGTCCCTGCCCATGGCAGGGGGGGTGGAATGAGATGATCTTGAAGGTCCCTTGCAACCCAAACCGTTCCATGATTCTATGAAGTGAATTTGGCGCCATAAGAAAACCAACAGGCTGGAAGGCTGCGGGCACCGAGCTGCGATCAAAGGCTTTGATTGCAGAAGCAGATCTGATACCAATGGGAGACTCTTCCCAGTCCCATCACCCATGGGTGAAGGCTGCACCGAGGCATTTGTTGTGCCTGGATGCTGGTTGCAGCCAGCAGCAATGCCCAGGCCAGGCTGTGCCAAGGGTGAGGTTCAGTTGCTTGACAAAAGTGCCAAAAATTACACGAAAAGGGCGTTTGACTGACAAGAGGCGAATGATCAAATGGCCCTAAAGCATGAAGGAAAAGAGGAATATCCCTTGCTGCCGGGGGTGGTTTGTAAGGAAATAGCCATCAAGCCTTGGGGTTGCATCCCTCTGCTCGCAGGGAGGAGGTGCTGGCTGCCTGGAAAGCCAAAAGCCGGACTAAGCTCCTCCTGCACACCCAAGCCCCGCGACCGCAACGGTGCCGTCGTGGTAAGCGTAAAAGCAAAGGCAAAAATTGCTTTCGAAGAGCGAATAAAGGAACGAGCTGTGCCAGCGGCAGTGATGCCACTCTGCTCATCTCGGACAGCAAAATCTGCATCCTTCCCTCACCACCCCAGTTAAGCTCTTCCCTCCTGTGATGCCTCTGGAAGCAGATGTGCTGGGAGAATCTCGTGCAGTACAGAGCAATAAATGCCGTGTCCCCATTTCCTTGGTTTTCTGCAGGGAGCTCAAAAATGCAAATTTATGTTAAAAGGAGGCCCATTTCAGAGAGCCCAGGGTTGGGTGTGATTGCTGGATCAGCAGTGTCACCCGTGTCACCAGCTGTGGATGCTCCCCTGCTTGCACAGGCATCCGGGCCAGCACGGGAAGCATGTTGGGCTCTGAAATGGGCAAAGCTGCAGAGCATCCAGCTGGAAATCACTTAGGAAAGCTGGAAAAGCACCTGGGGTTCACAGAGGCACAGGCACTAGATCCACCCCTGGTTAAAAAAGTGATTAAAAAGAGGAAACAAGTGGTTAAAACCAGGACAACCCACAGGAGGTGTGATAGGAAGGGGTCGGACAGCGTGGTCTGCTAAGGGAGATGCATCCTGCAGCTTGTTGGGTTATGGTCTGCTCAAGGGGGACGGAGGAGGGTGTCCCACAGACCTCTGGAGCCCTTGGGAAGGGACGGGAGGCAGGGGAGGGCAGAGGTGCCTCGGAGAGCTGCAGCGGCACCTTGGCACGGCTGGGTCCTGCAGGCTCTGCCGACATCGGGGCACTCGGACGCTGAACCCTCCCCCGGACCCGGGCCCTCGGCGGGGTTAAACTCTCCTCTCCCAAAGCACAACCACAGGCTGCAGCGTGCGAACGTGCGGCGGTGTATCATGCCGGGGAGATGGAGGAGACCCTGGCCCGTGTTCGGGGCTAAACCATCAGGATTTGGAGCACGTCGCTCACCTTCCTGAAGAATCCTGGCCGCGGGTCTGTCCCCTGCCAGGGCACAATGGTCCCCTGTGGCATCTCCCCGTTGCCTCCTGGGGACCCTGCATGATGCTTTCACCAGGTTTCTATCAGAAACGCCTGTTTTGGGCAACTCATCCCTTGTAGGCACCGTCTAACACCTTCCTGAGGCCGGGCTGTCCCACATCCTCCCACCATCTTCCCCAGCTGCAGTGCTGCCCCATGGGGCCCCGTGGCTGCTCCGGTGTGACAGAGGTGTAGAGCAGGTGACAATGACACTGGGGTGGTGAATCCAGAGGTCGGAGGCGTCTGTCCCTGTAACGCTTCGTGTTCTTCTCTTGTTAGGAAAGCAGATCGAGCGAGAAGAACAAGGGAGCCAAGAATGAAGAAGAAAAAGGAAAGGAAGCGTCTCCCAGAGACCTGGCCCGGAAACGAGATACAAAAGTGGAGAAAGATTCTAAGAAGGAAGAAAGCGTTCAGAAAGCAGACCCAAAAGTTAAAAATGAGGCCGAGATCAAGACCAAAGAGGCGAAGGCTATCAATGACAAGGTCAAGGCCATGGAGAAAAAGCTGATGGGGAAGGACAAAAAGGAGGAAGAGAAGGGCTCAGCGATAAAGAAGGATGCAGGGAAGGATAAAAAGGAGGAAGAAAAGAGCTCAGCAATAAAGAAGGACGCAGGGAAGGATAAAAAGGAGGAAGAAAAGGGCTCGGCGTTGAAGAAAGACGCAGGGAAGGATAAAAAGGAGGAAGAGAAGGGCTTAGCAGCAAAGAAGGAGACAGGGAAGGACAAAAAGGAAGAAGAAAAGGGTTCTGCGTTGAAGAAGGGCACAGGGAAGGAGAAAAAGGAGGAAGAGAAGAGTTCAGGATCAAAGAAAGAAGCAGAAAAAGAGACAAAGGGGGAAGATAAGAAAGCAAAAGATAAAAAAGAAGAGGAAAAGAGTTCAGCTTTGAAAAAAGCAAAGGCAGAGGAGAAAGAGAAATCCCAGCCAGAGGCAGAAAAGGCAGCGGAGGAGAAACAGGAGGCCAAGGAGAGCAGCCCTTCCAAGCCCACCACCGGCGGCTCGCCGGACCAGGCCAAGGACGACGAAGCGTCCAGCATTTTCGATGAGCTCATCGAGAAGGTGAAGAACAACGACGCCGAGGTCACCGAAGTGAACGTGAACAACTCGGACTGCATCAACAACGAGACCCTGGTGCGCTTCACCGAGGCCCTGGAGTTCAACACCGTGGTCAAGCTGTTCGCCTTGGCCAACACCCGCGCCGATGACCACGTGGCCTTCGCCATCGCCATCATGCTGAAGTCCAACAAGGTGCTGACGAGCATCAACTTGGACTCCAACCACATCACGGGCAAGGGCATCCTGGCCATTTTCCGGGCGCTGCTGCAGAACAACACGCTGACGGAGCTGCGTTTCCACAACCAGCGGCACATCTGTGGGGGGAAGACGGAGATGGAGATCGCCAAGCTCCTGAAGGAAAACACCACGCTCCTGAAGCTGGGCTACCACTTTGAGCTGGCCGGCCCACGCATGACAGTCACCAACCTGCTGAGCCGAAACATGGACAAACAGAGGCAGAAACGCCTCCAGGAGCAGAAACTGGCACAGGAGCGTGGGGAGAAGAAAGACCTCCTGGAGGTGCCCAAGCCCGGGACCTTGCCGAAGGGATCCCCCAAGGCATCCCCGCAGCCATCCCCCAAGGCTTCCCCCAAAAGCTCTCCCAAGAAAGGGGGGGCGCCTGCCGCGCCGCCCCCGCCTCCTCCTCCGCTCGCCCCACCGCTGATCAACGAGAACCTGAGGAACTCGCTCTCGCCGGCCACGCAGAGGAAGTTGGGAGACCGGGCGCTGCCGGTCCAGGAGAAGAACTCGCGGGACCAGCTCCTGGCAGCCATCCGCTCCAGCAACCTCAAACAGCTCAAGAAGGCAAGTGCAGGGCCGCGGTGGGGTCACCTCCAGGCAGCACCCACGGGATTAGGCTGTGGGCTGAGGGCTGAGGTCACGTCTGTCGTTACTTGGGTAGTGGAGAGGTGAGGGCTGTCCTTCTCCGGTGCAGGGTACAGAGCAGGGCGTCCGTGGTCCCAGTTCCTGGGGGGAAGATCCATCCCTTTGCCGAGCACACGGGGTGGCCAGATCCATCCTTTCGCGCCATCCCTTGCAGAGCAGGTGGGGTCAGCAGATCCATCCTTGGGCAGAGCATCCAACAGGAGAAGATCCATCCCTTTGCACAGCCCATGGGGTGGGCAGATCCACCTCATCCCAGCAGCCAGGTTTGGTTCCAGGGTTTGGGACACAAGGAAGAAGCCAGCTTTAACCTTTAACCCCAGAGGACGGAAGTCCAGGACCTCCCCATGCAGAAAGGAGCGGTGCTTAGCCGCAGCGAGGGAGTCTACCCCGTGGGCTGGTGTCCCAGCAGGCAAGAGCACACAGGTCCCCAAGGGCAGCAGCTCAGCAAGCTCTTGCTGCCACGTTGGCAT